GCAGATTACGAGTCGAGCGCCCTAACCAACTGGCCATGCCGGGTCCCGATGTAGGAAAAAGTGATGTATTGAAAATCAACTACAATATGTGATCACAAACATGTTCTAATTAATAATTTTGTAATTAAATGCTTAGTAAGGTCTATTTAATCTTTTTAAAAGATAGTACTTACAAAGTAGGCAGAACAACACTGCTTGAATGTTTCCATGGTTACGAGTCACTACAGCCAAGACAGTAATAAATCCATGAAAAACCAACAGCAAAATGATCCATGGTTCTGTCCAATCCACCTTAAAGAGTGTAAATATACTTTTGAACATAAAACACATGCTTTTAACTCGTTTATTTACTTATGATACATCCCTAGTGTCTTATAGTACTTACAGTGATGCATCTCCTCCTTGAATGTAATATGTATAACCAATAGAGGGCTGGGTCCCCTTTGGAGGCACTGGCAAAGGCTTATTAGGGGCCCTCCATTGGTGACCTAATAATTTGCAAGAGGTATATCAAATTGCACTGGATAGTGTACTTGTATATTATTAGACAAGTGACAAACACACAACTTACGAAGAAGAAATAAAACTCTTGCCAGATTAATTTTGAGTTTATTTTAAAGACGGCCACTAACTCTTAATTTAAAATAGTAACCATTTATGATATTAGCATTTTCAGTGGTATAAAAAAAAAACTTGTGTGTAAATATAGTTTCTTCACAGAGATCTGGTGTGCACAAAAATGAAAATACACACATACTATATATATATTATGTTCCTGTTCTATACGTGTGCAACACCTACATGAAATAATACAAGTAAGTGTCCAATGTATGTGTGTGTATTAACAATATATGAAAATCTGAATTCACTGCACCAACAAATGTTTGAGTTTATAAGATGATTTTGAGAGCTTGCTAATAATTTGCCTGTTTGATGTCTCAGCTATAATGTTGGTTTCATTGCTTACGAGCACGAGGGCTTCCAGGTGCTGACTGCCAACGGCTGCTCGGTCTTGTTTATATCATCTTTAGCTTCAACAAACTTCTCTCACAGTGAGCTTGAGTGATTAAAAGTGGCAGAAGAAAGTGATACATTTTATGATAAGTTGTCATATGTTTCTGAATGTAGCATGTAGTTCTTAAGCAACTGAAAAACACATGTTAAACACCATTTGCACCTCTGGAAAGTTTTGCATGAAGTAACATCCACATGTTCTACTGTATGGTCAGTCTCAGATGCATCATTGGTGTTACCTCCCTCAATGACCATCTCTTTGAAAGCAGCGTACTGGTCTTCTAAACCTTGATTTAGCTTGGGATACACACATGCAAAATGTTTCAGTTCAGACCTATCTTATTCAGCAGGCAAACCCTTTTTCTTTATGTCAGCAAAACTCTTTGGGTCAAAACAGTGCACGTAAGCATATAGATGACTATGTTCAGCATATCATCTCATCAGACTTGCTATTGCTTGATCAAATACAATGTTAAAAGTATCAATCCTTTATGTAGTGATAGGTGATATAGTCATATCACTTTCTGCAGATATTGTTTCATCATACCTAGCTTTTCGTTTTCTCTTCCTTTGGACAGATAATTCAGCTGACACCTTGACTTCATCACATTTCTCAATATCTAACACAACGAGCCAATCAATATTGCACAAAATTTGGTTAATTTGTCTGACAAACATGTGTGCTATAGCTACAATGTTTCGCATGTCGTCCCTCAGTGCTCACGGTTGAACTGTACATTCTTCGATTTCCCTCAAACCCTGAACTAAATCAAGTCTACTTGTTTGAAGGTATTCTGATACTGGTGAGACATGATGGAAAACAGACAGAAATGTGTCAAAACTGTTTCATACCTCAGAAAGCCATCCAGCATCCTTCTAGTTTCTGTTTTTGTGGCAGCATCATGTGACTTTGAATGATGCAATATAATCAGACCTAGGAAAACTGCTTTGGAGTGGTCTGTACATGTTCTGAACACATAAGTTTAACATAACAGCAAATGTACAACGTTTCGACTACTTGTACCTTACGATGACAGAATCTTGTCGAAACGTTGTACATTTTCTGTTATGTTAAACTTATATTAAAGTTTTTCTTCATTACCCATTCAAGCCGTCTCCAAGCGTTATTAGTCTGTTGTCAGCTTTAAACAATAGGTGCAGGACTTGCTCACACTATGTAGTAATTTCATGATTTTCCTCAGATTTTTATACAAAACATAAAGCTATGAGGTAATAATCAGGAGAGAAGTTTGGTGTTGTAACTTGTATGTATGCCTAAACAGCATGCAGTCATGCATAAACAGATCTACACAAGTATCTAAGCCTCTATGTAAAGAAAACAAAATTTTAATAATCGACTAGCGGTTTACAGACGCAAGCACTTAATCATTTAAAACACTTTCCTCAAGAAGCTATGAATGTATTTTTTATTTACCTGTGGCAAAGCCAGCAAGAAGGGAGTATAAATATTAGTTATATATTATATTTATAGGTCTAAATATATTCAGTATTTATTATATTGTTCTACATCAGTAAGATTATTAAAGATAGATGAAGGACACTGGTTATAATCTATAAACTTAAGTTTAAATATTATTAAGTGGTAAACTATAAAAAAATTGAAGGGCTACCAATGCTTGAGTTCTAGGGGGCCCACCAGGAGTTTGCCAGGTTGCTTTAAGTAACTTTAAAAACCTTATAGTATGAATACCCTTTTGAAATCCCCCGATGTGAGTAAAACATAAATACCGTATTAGTTCTGTAGAAATAATACAAGTTGAAAATATATATATATATATAAAGGATATTTAGTGACTATAATTAAAATTCAGAGAATAAAACTATTAGTCATTTATCTTCACCTTGATCTAATGATGATATCACCATATTATTCATATGTGTAATTACAACTACATAATTACCTTGATCTAATGATGATATTACCATATTATTCATGTGTAATTACAACTACATAATTACCTTGATCTAATGATGATATTACCATATTATTCATGTGTAATTACAACTACATAATTACCTTGATCTAATTATATTACCATATTATTCATGTGTAATTACAACTACATAATTACCTTGATCTAATTATGATATTACCATATTATTCATATGTGTAATTACAACTACATAATTACCTTGATCTAATTATATTACCATATTATTCATGTGTAATTACAACTACATAATTACCTTGATCTAATTATGATATTACCATATTCTTCATATGTGTAATTACAACTACATAATTTGTTTCCTCTCCTATTGCTAAGAATACAGGACATCCATCACACTTACATTAACATTTTAGGCCTAGGTCCTGAAAGTTCACAACTTACATATACCACATGGCAAAATAACTATAAGTAATAAGTGCATACTAATTCCACAGAATTGTATGTCCCATTTCAAAACAACCTCATCATATATAAGACATATTACAGCCTGAGAGGATCATATACCCACAATGTCAAGTTACACAATTTAATGGTCACAGGGGATGAAAAAGTATAAAATGTAAACACATCACGATGAATTAATCAAAAGGAATTGGATCATACAAAGGTTTATTTTTTAGAAATAAAATATGAATATTTATAAATAAGCTGACAAATAAATAATGTACATATCACTATAATTACTGGAATGGAGTGAAGTGATACTGTGAAGGGTGCTGAGTAAAAGAATAGGTTAATAACAATGTGAGAAATATTGAGTCGACTTTGACGTACATAGACGTATGTTAAAATGAGATCTCTAGCATAAATGTGATTGGTCATATCATTCCACCCCCTCAATAAAAAAACAACATGCCTATCATCAATCAATTTATTCTTAAGGACTGGTAAAGATGGATCCATTAATGAGTTGCCCAATTATCTATGATATAAAGATGTAGACCATAAATTACTATTAGTTACTTGAAAACAACAACAAGTAAATGATCGTTGTACTTCAGGTATCAGCTCATAACTTTCTTTTTCTAAAGTCCCATTTTCACCTGTTATAGACATGAAACAAAATATGTTGCATGCCGAAACTCATAATATACATAAGAACATTTACTATTTACAGGTTGATTTGTGGGTTATGAATGAAAGCCTTTGTTGAACATGTGCTAAGTAATAACTCTGTAAAAAGCTTTTTTGTGAGACCAAGTTTATTCAACTAAAAAATACTATCAGATACTTACGAAAAAGGAGATTTCTTTATTATATTTTTCAATGTCAATGTATTATTCAGGTGAAGGGTATATACTTACAACAGAATTATATTTCAAATTAATACTGTAAGCTTAATCTCATTAAAGAACAAAAACCAATAAGCTTAAAGATTACTGTAACAGTTTGAATTTATACTACAGTCTATAAATTTCTAAACTAAGACAATGGAACTAAAATTTAATCTAACAACTGCTTGTACATCACCTTTTATGCATGAAAATGGCTAGAAAAACATAGATTTTATTTGAATATTTTAATTATTATTAGGTTTAAAACAGAATGCAGTTATATCACAGTGGGATCTTCTTGCTTACCTCTTCTAAGAGCTTCATAATGCTAAATATTTCTTTAGATTCAATTCCCACTTTGACTGTTCCTGCTGGATTCATCTTATAACCTAAGGTAAGTCATCTGAGTATTAATGTCAAATATAGGAAAAACCAGTAGTGTCCAATTCATTACAGTTACACAATCCAAGACCTTTATAATTTCTACTATAACTAATACTTTATGATGTAGCCACCCAAAAGTGTAACTGCCATTATTCTGTTGGGAAAAACAGTTGTCATTAAAATATGATCTACACTGGCAATTAATTAACTGTTCAGTCATATAGCCATACTGTTAAATTGCATTCTGTTAATTTATATTCTTCTAATGACAATACACATAATAGAAAAGTTGTAATACTAAAATCAGTTGCAAAATACTTTCTTCTTGTTATACTTACACTGTAACTTGTAAGTTACAGTTTACAATTTACACGTACTCATGATGTAGATAAAGCATAAACAACATTTTGAGGCTAAAATAGATATTACAAAATAGTCACGAGATTGCTATTTTTTCTAATTAAAATCTGTGGACATTCTCCTTAAAAAAAAAGATCTATCAGTTTACTTCAATAAATAATGATGAGAAAATAATGCTGAAAAAATTCCATTTACTTAGATAGACACAAATATGGCTAAATCATTTAGTAAATGATGATAGTGATGTTCATTCTACGAAAAAGAAATAAATTACTAATATTATTCGCCTTAGGTAAATAAATCATTAAATGTAGATAACATTTTTGTGCAAATAAGTATTTCATTCTCGGGAAATTAGAATAATCGAATCGTTGACTAACAATAACATTTATAGTACACTACATACACAAAACAAATCCTTATTATAATAAATTATCATTTTACTCGTATAACTTATATAAGTTACAAAGAATAAAATAATTATTTTTTGTATTAACTGTTTTATAATTTATATGCTGCATGATTACGACTACGAATGACGACTCACTAAACGACGACGCTCAAGTATAGCTTTAGTTTACTTTATTAAAAACACTTTTCTTTATGTTCTCACCCAGACGATAAACGAAAGAGTAATTTAATCTGTTACCATGTTAATTCGATAGGAATGATCAAAAATAGATCAACTATACTAAGCCACACAGACTAGATCGCTACTAGTGCTAGTACTACTGTACTTGTACAGTTTAGGCCAACGACGTAAGCCTTTCACGCATTCGCAAAACTGAGGTGTCGCTTTTTTCTGAATCATTCATTCAATCTTCCTTTGACATTAGGCTTAACTACCGGCTTACATTCGGTTAAGATTTTGTAACAGTACAATAAAATGATCAAAAGCTACTACCCGCACTAACTTTTTATGACGATTATATTTACATAACAGGAAAAAAATCCATAAAGAAAATATCAAGTTATCAAAAACAAATGAAAATGAAGAGCATTCACAAACGTTGTATTATCAAATGATACTTTTCTTTATTCGACTTGAAAAACAATAAAGATGAATACTATATTAGTGACTAAGGCCTTCTGTCTGCAAACGATATTTTGCAAATTCAGTTTGATAAAGGTTTTCAAGATGTTGACAAAAGTGTATATGATCTTAATCCAGTAATCTAATTATTTGCTGTAACCATCATGTAAGACAGAAACTCGAAACTCTGTACTTATATTTATTCACAATATATTTGATTTATTTCATCTGTCTGAGAAAGTATATAGATACTATTTCTCTTTAGTCACTTTATCCTTATAGTAAAATTTAGCTGTAATAACAAGCCCCATTACTGATCACAGTTGGATCTCTAGCGGATAAAATTGATATCTTTGAACAAGCAATGAACTAAACTGGCAACAACATTTGTAGCGACATCTGTTAAGAATAATTAGCATTTTTAAAAATTACCATTTGATTACTTCGAAGTCTTTTTCTACTAGCTGTTCTTCTTCCAGTTAACATAGTATTTAGTCAATTTCTTCAGGCCTATTACATGAGACTTTAATTGTTATGTTCAAACTACTACAACAACAACAAAAAAAAAGATTCTTATATAATGTTTCTGCAGAACAATATCGTATCACTCACTGTTTCTCAGCTCGAGAATTATGTTAAATGCTTGTCTATGTTTCAGGTGTAACTGTTGTATTCGCAATAACAAAATTTACAGATTTGTTTAATCTTCCCAAATCTTTCTTTGTCAACAAAATTTTCATAATGACCCGACGGTGTTCATTAAGGAATTATTACTGAAATTTTTACAGTAGTCTGGATCTGAACGTCTTAACGAATGGTTTGGTTTGTTTTGAATTTCGCCCAAAACTACACGAGGGATATCTGTACTAATCATTCTTAATTTAGCATTGATAGACTAGATGGAAGGTAATTAATCAATACCACCCACCGCCAACTCTTGGACTACACTTTTACCAATGAATAATTGGATTTACCATCACATTATAACACCCCATTACTAAAAAGGCAAGCATCTTCGGGAATGGGGATTCAAACCCGCGACCCGCAGATTGCGAGTTGGGCGTCGTAACCACCAGACCATACCAGGCCTTAATTTATGTATGATTTGTTTTTCAGCCATAAACAAAAAAGTTACGTAACAATTTAAACCTCTAAAATGTAGCTTGATTACATATATGAAAACATAATTTTTATCCTTATTATAGAATAAATGAAGTTCTTTTCAAATTTTCGCACAAAGTTACACACCTGCACACTACCCTACTTTTGAACTGACAGACTACAGGGATGGTGGCTAGTTAACATCACCTACCACCGTCTCTTCGGCTACTCTTTCCTTATTGAATATTAAGATCTGACCGTCGCTGTTAAACCTCACCGAAAATCAGGAGCGAATATTTGGGCGCAACGGGGCCCGAACCATGAATATTCGAATTCACAGTCTGGGCACGCTAAACACCGGATTTTGATAATTTAAACTTTTTTGCTTGTTTGCTGAGAAATCCAAACTGAAAATTGTGAAGATTTTAAGTGGCAGCAAATAAAACAGGTATTCAATTTAAAAGTTATGTTCCACATAGACTGGGTAATTGTAAAAATCTTATTTAATTCTTATTAATATATATATGAAATATGTAAACCATGGACACATGTTTAATAAACATGTCTTTGCTCATGATAAATTAATTTGGTAACATCTTATATTATATGAATATTGATTCTCTTTCCTGAAGCGGTGTGTCTGTAGACTTACAACGCTAAAAACCGGGTTTCGATACCCATGGTGGGCAAAGTACAAGTAGCCCATTGTGTAACTTTATAATTAATATCAAAACAAACAAACATTCAATCCCTTCCTAAATGTGTGGTTCTTTTCAGTGTGAATAAAATTTCACATGGTGCTAAAAATTTGTGGCAGTGCGTGGTCAAGTGTGAATTTGTTGATCGCGGCCCGTTGCCACAAAAACGCATTCTGCACTTTGGAACTGTGGGTCCGCTGTAAGAGTGACCTTTAAATCCCGCTATTCGTTCAAACAGAATAGCTTAAGAATTAGTGATGGGTGCAACTGACTAGCTGCATTTCTTCTAGTCTACCACTTAAAAATTTGGGACGGTTTTTTTTAATTATGCGCAAAGCTACTCGATAGCTACCTGTGTTAGCCGTCCCTAATTTAGCAGGGATAGACTTGAGGGGAAGACAGTTAGTTAACACCACCCATTGCCAACTCTTGGGCTCCTCTTTTACCAACGAATAGTAGGATTGGCCATCACATTATATCTCTCCCACGGCTGAAAGAACGAGCATGTTCGGTGACGGAGAGTCGAACCCACGACCTCAGATTGCGAGTCGAGAGCCCAAACCATCAGACCATGCCAAGCTCAACATGTTTTCTCCTTAACAAAAAAAGAAAAAAAAATCTTGGAAACATGATAGAGATTTTCTTAAGAACATAACAAAGAGACGGATCTTTAAAGGAATTCAAGGAGGTAACACAATACAGATCTTTAAAGCAATTCAAGGAGGTAACACAATACAGTGCCGCAAGCATGGCAAGGAAGTGACATGATAAAAGGCTTCAATCATATCTGGGAGGTGACACGAGACAGAACTTCAAGAAGGCAAGGAAATGACACAATACAGGTTCTCAAAGCACGAAAAGGTGGTGACACATTAGAGAGGTTCAAGCATGACAAACAAGTGACACACACTAAGAGTTTTAAAGCATAAAATTGACACGATGAAAACGTAAGTTCTTGAAATCCTAATAAAGAGACAAAACAAGTCCACAAAAACATGGTCAATAAATGACACAAGAAACATGGCAAAGGAGCGATATAATTAAATGTCTTCAAAGTATAGTGTTAATAAATTAATTGCGTACAAACTACCAACTTTCGGGCGTGTTTAAATTATTAGAACACAAAACAACTGATGAAACACTAATTCACTTACTAACAAATGCAAATGACACAATATTTTTATTTTTTGTACAAAATATTACATCAGTGTGGATGAAACGATCTACACTGTATTTTTTCTAAGTTGTACTCTAATTCGTGTGAAAAGTCCAACAAGAGGTATCACTCATTAAATAACAGTTCAAGTGAGAAAGCAAAAAATAGTAGAACGCGTATTACACACGAGAAATAATATTAACAGCGTAAAGAAACGAGTCAGCTGAATTTTGACCCAATAGTTCCCAAAAAATATTTTCAATAATTTTTTGTCGGAAAAATCTGTACATACAGCCGTCTTAGCTATACAGTCTATCATTACAACTATTATAAAAAAAACACAAAAATTATAATTATAATCGAAATTTAAACTTGTTACAAAATTGTAAATAATATAGATGGAGATAAAAAATATATACACCAAATTGAGAATGAGTACCAAAGTAATACAACTTATTATATATTTTAAATACGTTCAATGTATCCACAATCCAAATCACAATTCTGATATTTTGAAAATGTACAAGTAAGTAATCTTGTTTTATTATTATTATTACTATTTGTAAAGGTACATCGGGTTAAAATTACAAAATTCCCTGAACTTGTGGGCTTAAAATTATAACCCTAACAAATATTACAAACTTAACTTCACTTTCCTAGTTTCGTTTGTTTTACAGACAGTACCTTATTGCAAAAGAAGTTCGGAAAGTGGATTAATTAACAGTGAATTGTAAAATTATATATATATATATACGTATCAAAAACCAAGTTCAGGAAGCTTATTGGTTGACAATGAATTGTAAAGACCTACATATAGGTGTCAAAACACACAGTAAATTACAAGTTAATTGAGAGAAATACTTTGATAAAATCTATTTATTCATTGTACAGGTAAAGCAATTGTAAAATCTTCACTGAAAATGATAACATAACTAATAAAATGAGAAAGCACTTTAAGACTGTCTATTTGGCTGATCGTAATGCGCTGTAACTCACGTAATGACTAGGTGATTAAACGTTATATCCTTTTAAATATGACGTCATCAATCACGTCGTACACGACACTAAGATAACTTTATAAGTAAAAGCACCACAATTTACTTTAACAGACAGAGAATATCGGCATATTATGTCGAATACTGGCGTATCGGTTAATTATGGTAATTACATATTTTTTGATAAATATTACAGCCTCAAATGCAAATATCCTTCTGATACGCTATTAATGAAACGATGACTTGCACTTAGATACTTAGAATTTCTTTCGTGACAAAAACACTTTTTCGGAAAGATTTGAGAAGATAAGACAAAAAGGAACATGAACGCAATAAGAACTAATTATATATGAACGAGAAAATAAAAAAAATCTAATTTCAAAGCAACACTATCCCGTTTTAATGATTTGGCTTCTTTCTTATATACACTTGAAAATGATTATAAGAAACAAGGAAATGAAACCGTTACTGTATCACATGCTCAGTCTTATTGCTTTTAGCTGAAAAGGGACATTTTTTCCGCCACTTATTTAAGAGTAAAACTAAAAGCCTGTCCACAGGGATATCGCCAGTCTTCACTAGACAATTAAAGGCCTGTCCACAGGGATATGACCAGTTTTCACTAGGACAACTAAAGGCCTGTCCACATGGATATCACCAGTTTTCACTAGGACAACTAAAGGCCTGTCCACAGGGATATCGTTAATCTTCACTAGTACAACTAAAGGCCTGTCAACAAGGATATCGTCAATCTTCACTAGTACAACTTAAAGCCTATCCACAGGGATATCGCCAATTTTCACTAGTACAGTTAAAGGCCTGTCAACAGGGATACCGCCAGTTTTCTCTAGTACAACTAAAGGCCTATCAACAATGATATCGCCAGTTTTCACTGAAAAAAAGTGAAACAGATTCTAAACAATTTGTAGTCCATCATTAAGTTCCTTTCTCCAGACACAAACTTACGAAGTATGAATCGTTGAACATACACCTTTATCTTAACAAAAGCTTCTTCCTTTATGAAATCTGAACACTCAACTAACTCCAGGAATGTTGAAAACGAATGCGTGAAAAGTTTAGTTTTCAAGTAGTTACGTCATAATGACATACTTCCGTCGTCTGAAAACGAATGCGTGAAAAGTTTAGTCTTCAAGCAGCTACGTCATAATGATGTACTCCACTTCCGTCGTCTGAAAACGAATGCGTGAAAAGTTTAGTCTTCAAGCAGCTACGTCATAATGATGTACTTCCGCCGTCTGTTCAAGTGTATTTTCAGTCTTCTGATCACAGTGTTTGGAAATCTGTTGAAAAATACACAGTTTTTACTTGACAGTAAGGATATAATTATAAAAATACCGATGCATGTTCTTGTTTAAGAAAAGAAAACCCCCTTAACTGATCGTCAAGAAGAAAATATAAAATTGTATAACATACTAAATGCTTATTAACTCAAAACAAGCTAGAATAAAATATTTCTTTTTTATATCCCTCCTCTTAAAATATTTAGTAACTCTGATACTAATAGACTTTAAACGAATTTTCTCGCACGAAATCATCGAGAAATTTGTGAACCAGTCACGATCTAAAGCCCCCAGTAGCACAGCGGTATGTTACAATGCTAGAAACCGGGTTTCCATACCCGTGGCGGGCAGAGCACAGATAGCCCATTGTGTAGCTTTGTGCTTAACTTCAAATAAACCAAACCCCATCTAAAATCCTTAGTAATTATAAATTCCATTTATTGACTTACCACCATTACATAAACCCCTCCCCCATCGACTTAGCGGGACTTATAGTGTTAAATTTGTGTTTCGATACCTGCGGTTAGTAGAGCACAGGTAACCCTTTGGATATTAAGCTTCGTGCTTAACAACAAACGAGACCGGTGCAGAATAACGATAAGTGACTTGTCTGTCATACTTTGAAAACACATCGTTTAATATAACGCTAAAGGCTCTTCAAAGAAACTGCCCTCAATCAATACGAACCATTTATGACATACTAATGCAATGTTTCAAATCCAGGCTTGATGGTTCTGAAGAAGCAGTATAAAAAAATGGGGGAAAATATTATAAAAAATGCCTACAAAATATTGATACAGCGCCATCTATTAGTTCAAGATAGAAACTTGATTTGATGTCAAGAGACGTTTACTATAAGCTATAAAAAAAAAACATTAAAGGCAAAACAAAAACAAAACTAACCACAAACATATATATATCGGCTTCACACTATTTTATGGGTTTAAGAGTATGAACCTAATCCTAGCACGTTATTATTTCTTGACAATTTTTAAAGGAAAAATAAATAAAATATGTAGATAAAGATTTATTGATAATATTGCCATTTGATCCCAGACTATGAAATAGATAGTCGAAAAGAAAATTTGCGTCAAGTTTGAGCCCGATTCCACATCAATAAATTGCTTTAAAATTTTTACAGGTGAGACAAACAGCGGTCGCCACATTTATCAGTGGTTTGTTTTTAGTGCAAGACTACACAATGGATTATTCGTGCTGTTCCATCGCGAGGAATCGAACCCTAGGTTTTACTATCATAAACCCTCAAGTTTATTGTTGAGCTACGGGGGTGACACTTTGAATGAACTAGACAGACGAGTGAATTGTGATTAAAACCAAATTATATTTTGGCGTTTGAAAATAACATTTTGACGCAAAAATACAGGAATATTGTCCCAAACAAAGCCTAGCAAGAAACAGGGTTCCTGCATAAATTCAAGATATATGTTGATAGAAAAGGAACCACCTAATGAATACCGTTAAATAATATTAACAGTTTGGGGGAAATAAATGTAACATTTTTTTAAATTCAGAAATATATATGTGCAAAAAAAATAAACTCCCAAGTTTTTTAAAATTTAAATAATTATTTTAGAAAAACAAGATACTCAAGAGCAACACACACACGTACAGCAAGGAAATAAACATAATTAACGAACGATCTAATGATTGAATGAAAGGTAATTACAGTCTGCACGATACATCTACATTGTCTAACATCTGAAGGTTATTTCAATTTACTACGCTACACGTCAAACAGCCTATTTACTGCTTTATAACAAAGTATAGGACAAAGCAGATCCATCAGAGTCAGGAAATGTCAATCCAATTACTTTTTATAATGCAGTTCTAAAATGCAACAATAGGCTTCGGTTTGTTTATAAATGTAGAGTAGTTTTTAAAATATATTAATTTCTGTTAATTATTACCTGCGTGTAATTAACTATGCATATTAACGTACAAAAATATTATCAAAATTATCAACGTTGTTCATTTTAAATTGTTTGCTTTGAAAAGCTTTCTGTTGCAAAGAAAGTAAATTTTATTTTATTTCTTTAAAAAAATTCACTTTTTTGAGCTCACATCTATCTAAAATAATTATGAATGTATATTGACCCCTCGTCACTAAAGTTTGATAATGAGATTTATCAATTATTAAAATTAAAATGTTTTTGTGTGACACTCCTGGTGGCCAAAACTATAGTAGTTTTTTTTAGCGCACTTCTTTACTGTCGTTTTTTTTATTTGTAAAGTTTCTATATATATTTAGGTACATAAATGTATGACCAATTTATCTTAAAGTACTGAAAAGTTCTCCATTTACACTACGCCTGTTGTCAAAATTAAACTCGAGGAAATTAATGTTTATTGAGGAACCAAACGAACAGAACAATTAACTCAAATATACAATAACAACGTCTTTTTAAGCCACCATCAAGTAATAGTTACATTCAAATATGACTCTTACCTGATGACGAATTGATACTTTGGGTCGAAACGTTGTAATTATTAAAATTAAAACCTGTCTACCGTAAAATATGTTGATGTTGTATTTTTGAATTAAACTTGAAGTCGAAGAAAATTTTTTTTTATTATTGATTATCAATGTCTGAAGGATAAAAACTTTCAAGTTTGGTATTATCTACCTTAATTTTGGTTATTGCATGGGTAGCCATTATGAGCTTTATTACAGTTATGAATCGTTATGATGATAAATAATATTGTAATCGCTGTCTCTTACAATTTCTGAGGACTTGAAGAAATTCCTGATACTTGATTAATTTCTACGCCATGACCATAGTCAACAGTATGCGTATGTTTTTGCAGTTAGGGACAAACATAGATAAGTCCATTTTCAATCACACAGAAACAAATGAGTATCCCTATGAAGGTAGGGTCGATGAAATCATTTCTGGGTGTAAATACTGATGAAAACAGTACCGGATAATATTGGTGGGTTCTTTATGGATGACGTACTGCATCATTCAAATGCGGATACACTTAGTGTTTCATATCTTTCACAGTACTTCATTTGTCCACATGAGGATATACTTAGTGTTTAATATCTTTCACAGTACTTCGTTAGTCCACATGAGGATACTCTTAGTGTTTCATATTTTCCCCAGTACTTCGTTAGTCCACATGCGAATACTCTTAAGGTTTCATATTTTCCCCTGTACTTCATTAGTC